AGTAAAAAGCTTTGGGATCGGGCGAAATGGAAATAGAAAACCACAAAATGATATAATGTCCCATTGGATAAGCCCCGACATTCGCACAAAAAGCGGACAGAAGGCGAGAAGCTTTAAAACAATTAATTATAAATTTATGGGATGATGCTAAAAGGGGACCAGGAACAAGGACCAAATGCAGACATTTAAATAACTCGGCAAACAAAAGCCAACGGAAAAGGACGAAGGACAAAAAGGAGTGAAAATGGATTTCCATTTAAGGCGGCATGTTGAGCACATTGTTTTTATTAAGTGTCGCATGATATGTGCGATATATATATGTATAAACTTGGGTATTTATATATATATCTGTATGTCCAATGCTAAGCCCGCAGTGCCACTCCATTCACATAAACACTTCAAGTGGCAACATGACGTGCAACTAATCCGTTGCCGTTCCCCAAAAAATATGTTACAAGTGGGCAGGAGTGTCCGTATTCGGATTCAGCCGGACAAACCGGACAGGCGTTCATCCGGGCACTGTGGCTCAATTTACTTCATAAAAATTAATAAATATTTAAACAGAAGAAAGCAAAGGGATTACCCAAAAAACAAAAGGCTTTTGCTTTAGTAATGTGACAAAAAAAATTGAATTAGTTAAATCATTTAATAAATTTAAGTTACTTTTATTTTCATATATTTATTCATTTACTTGTTAGTGCCCCAAAAGTGAAAGTGAAAGAAAATAAGGTTACGAATTTTGTATATATTTTTCCATATTTTAAAATATATTTTTTGGGATATACCAGAACAACCTAAGCCCACTGTGCCAAGGGAACATCATAAAAACAGCTGCCGACCCTGCACAAAGATGATGACTGCGACTCCTGATGCTGATGATGATGACCCCTTGATTCCCGAACCGCCCCTGGGGCAACTGCCCCACCCCCGCTCTCTATATAATGCACGCTAAATACATAGTTTGAAAATAGTTTTGAACCCTTTCATCAGGCGGCCCCACAGCTCGCAGGCAGCCGCAAACAAACAAAAAACCCATGGGAACTCGACTCGTGGCTTTGGCACCAGCATCCCCAAAAAAGTGGTGGGGGAAAGTGGGGTGGAAAATTCAGTGGCAGAGCATTGGCTGTCATTTTCCTTATTTTTCCTCTGTTTGTTTTATTTCTGCCATATGACCTTTTTTGTCACATTTAGCCCGAGTAACATTTTGTCAGTCCTTAACCAACTCATCAGGGTGGGCCAAAACTGCACTGCTTTGTGCTGATAAATGAAAGGCGAATGTCTGCCGGCCCCCCCTTCAGCATTTTCCATAGGGTTTTCCTCGCATTTTCCTTGCATTTGCCCCGAACCAGTCCTAACCACATCCACAGTCTGCGCTGCGTCTGAGTGAATGGCTGCCGAAATGAATGTTGCAACTAAATGAATAAATGGAAATTAGTGCCAAAAAGGCAACGATGCGCACACAATGAACGGACAACGGACAGCGGACACAACACGACGGACAGATTTACGGACAACGGGACGAAGTGACGGACAAAAAAGCACAAATTTTGGCGGAGAGCTGAACTCGAAAATGAAGCATCTGGGCAAAACATTTTTCATAGTCCTCTTTTTTTGAAGGCCTACTTTTGGGCCGAGTTTTTGTTTTGATTGCTTCTAGCTTAATATTCATTTATTTGTCACTTTTTTGTTTGATTTATTTTTTAGTCCCAATTCAAATTAGAAAGTGCTTCATGAACATTCATATTTTATTTTATGATTGTTTGGTAGTACAACTTGCACTATTTATTGATAGCCTCATGGCGAAAATGGTTGTAATTGCTGTTTAAATGCCACAACGCTCATTTAAAGCGTCTGCCCTCCCAGAAAATAGCTGGAATATTATCGTATAATTCAAAAGGGGGAGAGAGAAAGCGCGGTGAAAGCGGAGAAAGGGCAGAAAGGAGCAGGGCATTGAAGCGAACGCATATCTATCATTAATATCGCTGCAGTCAGCTGCTGTTGTGCTCAAAAAAAAAAAAGAACTGCAAAAAATGGGAAACGAAAGCGAAAATATGGCTGAATATGAAATACTCTATGGTAAAGCTGCTGCGGCTGCAAAATTAAATTCTTTAATTTTGGAAAACTATGTAAAAATTTGTAGACACAAATTTTTCAAGCTAAAAAAAAATGTTTAAATAAATTTATACTTTGATATTAAAAAGAAAACACATTTAAAATATTTACATACTGAAACATTGTTAAGGATTTATTATAATTATTATGAAGAAACTCTTAACTTGGTAATATACCATTGAAAAATAGGAAAATGGAAAAATGGCTGAGGAGAAGAAGAATGCCGCTACACACATACACACTTACATGGGCGGCCATGAATGCTAACACATACCACTAACACACACACATACACCATTGTGTGGCAGCGAGGTTTACTGGGCTGCATTTTCTGCATTTTCCGCAGCAGCAGCGGCGGCGGGAAAAGCTGTGGCAGTAACTGACTGCTGAACTACTGCCAACTGCAATTAATCATTTTTCTATCATTTTCAGATTTTTTACACACACACACATAAGGACTATATAGGATATACGTATGTATGTATGTATATGCATGGGGTAAGTTATGATTTTTCAGGATGCTGTTCGACGATTTCGCTTTCCCCCTTCTTTTTGGAAAATGTTTCTTTCGGGAAAGGGAGTTCGGTTTCCTTTGCACAAGCTAAAGAGCTTAAATAGGCAAAAAAAAGTGCCAAGACCATACAAAAAGTTATGAATTTCGTGAATTTTAAAAGTTATGCACAAATACTTTTCACAAACACGATAAAATATTTATTTATTAATCACTTAATTATTTCCTTCCATTAGCAATTTTATGAAACAAGTCAAAGAAAAAACGAAAATAAGCGCGCCTTGTTTAAATCGTACAAGGGAACAAAAGCATTAATAATGGCAAACATACGGACAACACAGTGATGCATGCCTATGGTGTACAGCCGTAAATATGTGCAGAGACATCTGTCTGCTATTAGCCGCCGTAAATTGCATCGTCGCCATCGGCCTAAGCGATTTCTAATGGCGGCGCACAGCGGGCGGCGCCAAACACCTTCGTAATTCCCAACTGCTCAACGGGAAAGGCTCCTCCACAAAATACACTTGGGAAAAAAGTCAGACTTTTAAGCATTAAAAAATCCCAAAGGATGGAAAAGACATATTGACTTAATATTAATTATCAACAACAATAATAGTATTAAAATAACCATAAACAAAATAAAAAGAACAGATTCTAAAAATCCCATTTTTTTTTATAAGCCATTTCTAGTTTTATAATGTAATTTTGAAATATAGAATTACACATTTTACACCAATTTCACACGAAGTTAAACCATTTTACATGATTTTACATACACTTACACTCCTTTTACAAGGAATTTCCACTGTTTTGAGTATGACATTGTTACGTGATCTACAAATAAGTTTCTTTCTTGTAACTCCGCTTTTATATAAATCTTTTGAATAATTAAAAAACAGATTTTAATCTGCCTAAGACGATACTGTTATCAATGTATTGTATGGTATTTTATCCTTTTCATTTCTCCCAGTGCTCTTTTTGCAGATCCTTTGGTGCATATGTGCCCAGGACCAAGCTGGAATACATACATATGTACATAGATTAGGTCAATTTGCTGGTAACTTTTGATGATGCCCCGGCAGAGGAGTCCGAATCGCTGGCCAAGTCGCAGACTAAGGGGAAACTTTCGGCCTGGTCACTCATTGATGCGGATACATCCGGTGGTTCGTTGGGTGGTTCGGTGGGTTGGTTCTGTGGGTGGTACATAGGTGGTTCAGTGGTTCGAAGGGCATCGGACATCGGACATTGGACATCGGACACTGGACATCAACTGCTAACAAGTCAACAAGACCGGCTCCGTTCAGTCGGGCATTCGCATTCCCAGGGGACATTTGGTCAGCTCGGTCAGGTTAAGTGTTTTATGAACTTGTTTCAATGGAGTCGAGTCGAGTTGAGTTGAGTTGAGTCCTTGCAAAGTGCGTGTGTGCAGGTGCCATGTGGTGACATGTGGCCAGCAGCAGGGGCACAAAACAGGAGCAGATCCGAGTTCGAGTTCGAGTCCAAGTCCTCGTCTGTTGCCATTGAAGCTTTTAATTTGATTTTCGTTCAAGTGTCGTTTTCTGTGGTCCCCAAACCTTCTGTCTCTTTCTCTGCCTCTGTCCCTTTCTGCTGACCCTTTCTCTTTCGCAATTTGTGCGTTTGACCATGTTGATTGTAGCAAACTTGAGCCTTTGGCCCGGCTTAAACTTCATCTCCCGCTTCGATTGGGGATCCCACTTTTTGGCCGGGATTTCACTTGGGTTCCTGCTCCAGTTCCCGTTTCGGTTGAGGTCTCCGTTTCTGGTCCTCCTAATGAGGCATTCCTTTGCTCCCGAAAATCCCCTAATTAAGGGCATAATAGAGCCTTTCGGGATTTAAAGTGAGTTGGCCAGGTTCCCTGTTGTGCCTGTATAACAAAAATGTAAGATTAGCCGCAAAACAATTAAATAGCGTTGTATAAATATTGTAAAACATATTTTACTTTACTTTTTCGACAGAAGTATTGATATATTTTTGGTAAAACTAGTAATAGGATCATTTTAAACAAACAAATAAGGTAAACAATTAATATTTTAAGCTATTAATGCCAATCGACTAGAAACTTTTATTACGTGCTCAGCCAAGTATAAAAACAATGCACAAAGAAAAAGGTTCTTAATAAGGTAGCCCATCTTGATAAGAAGCCGATTTCTAGTGCATTGTTTTTATATATATTATTTTGTTGACGTCAATTTTACTCTTTTAATCTTCTTATCATTGCCCTTACTTTATTTACTACTTAATTTACCTCTTTATTTATTACGTTATTTATCACTATTATACTTCATGCTGAAGTCGAAAGACTGGTAGTGTTCAGTACTAAGCCAAAGTTCCCGTCGTGTGGTTTTAATTGTTCACAATGCTTAAGTTGGCATTTTCCATTTGGTGCGTATTAATTATCCTTAATGTGCAGGAATCATTGACGTATGCAGGTTCCGTTGCTCTACTGGAAGATTCTTCAAATCAGTGTAGTCAATTCTGCCTCACCAAATTGCACCCGATGATCGAAAACATTCCTAAAACCGAGACAACGCTGAACAGGATTTATGGCGAACAGCAGGCTATACAGAACAAACTCCTGGAGGTACAATCCAAACTGGAGACTCAGCAAACTGGACTGAAGGATCTGCTTCTGGCTGTGGAGAAAAATTTGGACGACCAGAAAACATCTTTCCTTGAGGTAAGAATGAATAAGTTTTTATTATTTATTATAATATATTCAAAAAGCTTTCCCTAAACTATAAAGTTATTACAGACTATGTTAAACTCATATTTTTGCTACAGGAGATTTTAAGTTTTTCAAAACTAAATACAAATATTAAATAAATAAAAAAATAATATAAAGATTACTTTTAACTTTTTCATAAAAATCAAATTAAAAAAAATTTTAAAACATGTGGAACGTATATTTTGTTTATTCTTTCTTGTTAATTATATATTTTTCAATAATTTTATTTCAGGAAACCCATTGCAAACACAATGTTGCAACAATGTCGCCAAAGTTTCAAAAGGTTGCTTCGAGGTACTTTTATTTTGAAAATACTCTCAAACTAAATCGTTTGGCCGCGGGCATCGCCTGTCGTGAGATGGGCGGCCATTTGGCGGTGATCAAAGACGAACAGGAATTTTTTGCCATAACAGCAAGAACCATAAAAAATACTTGGTATCACGTTGGCATCAACGATCTGGACACTACTGCCCGATTTATATCAGAAACTACCGGCACGTCAGCCCCATTTTTAAAGTGGTCTTCAGGATATCCCAAACCAAACACAGGCTGCGTATATCTTTATAACTACGGCATGGAAACATATAGCTGCTACGATTTGTCATATTTCATTTGTCAATCAGACATCGCAATATAATTGAGAGACCATATTGCCCATTTTCCAATACCTAAAACTGAATAAAAATTTAATAAACTTATAAATAGAACCGGAAAGAATAAAGAAAATGTGTTAATTAGTCAAAAACATAAATGAACCGATTTTATCTAATTGCACATGTGAATAGAAAAATCACATCATTAGATATTTTAAACTGTAATTTTTTCTGCTTTAAAATTTGGCACATGAATAAAAACAATTTCTTTAAGCATTGCGATTACTTAAGCTTTGGACTGCCACGGCCTCTTATCAGCTGCATAGAAGTTTTTAGAAGAATCTGTCAGCAGACAGATTCTTTTCAGTACTTTGATAACGTTCCTCTTGTGTGGTTTAAATTATTTAAAATGCTTAAGCTGGCATATTTCGTTTTGAGCGCCCTAATTATCCTGGATGTTTATGGATCATTGGCGCATCCCCAGGATAAAGGAGGTTCCGTTTGCCAACTAAACGATCCTCCGAACCAGTGCGCTCAATTCTGCCTCACAAGACTGCAACCGATGATCGAAAACATTCCCGAAACCAAGACAAAGCTGGACCGGATTCAAGGCGAACAGCAGGCAATTCAGACCAAACTCGTGGCGGTGCAATCCAGGCTGGAGGCCCAGCGATCGGGATTTCAAATCGAGTTGGATGCCCATCTTCAAGCCGTTCAGAATAAAGTGGAAGTCCTGCAGACGGACATTCAGAAAAAGCTGGATAGCCAACTTCTGGCGGTTCAGACCAAGCTGGAGGGACAACTTAAGGAGTTACTTCTTGCAGTAGAGAAAAAGCTGGACGACCAGAAAACATCTTTCCACGACTCCTTTGAGGTGAGATTAAACAGGACTGAAGGAGAATTGCAGGATCTTCAGACCAAGCTGGATGAAAAACTTCTGGATGAACGGAAGACCATTACAAAGCAAGATTTTGAGGTCAGAATGAACAGGACGGAAGGACAACTGCAGAATCTTCAGGAAAAAATTGTAGGCCAACTAGGAGCCTTTCAGGCAACTCTCCAGGAAACCCGATCCAAAAATAATTTAAAAGCCAAATCGCCTAAATTTCAACGGATCGCCTCGAGGTACTTCTATATTGAAAATAATATGGAGCTAGATCATTTTGCGGCTGGTGTCGCCTGTCGTGAAATGGGCGGAAACTTGGCGTCAATTAAAGACGAAGAGGAATTAAATGGTATTGCCGTGAGGAGCGTAAGAGACACATGGTATCACCTTAGCATCAACAACCTGGACAAAGAGGGCGTTTTTGTATCTGAGACCACAGGGAAGCTAGCCACATATTTTAAGTGGAGATCAGGATATCCCGGTAACTCTATAGGCTGCGTTCAGCTATACAATGGAGGAATGGGTATATATGGCTGTACGGATAAGGTAAATTTTATTTGTCAGTCAGACGATGAAATATAAGAACACAATATTTGGTTATTGATGAAATAGAATAATTAATAATGTTTTAATCAAAAAAGCGAATCACTTACGCTTTTAATATTATTATAACCTAATAAAACAGGTTAATATTATAATAGTAATAAAAAATAGTAAAACAAAAATTAAAAACAAACTATAGCTCAAAGATTTGACAAATTTTTTGGTCAATTGCAATAAAAATAATATTAATAAATATATCTGGACAACATTTCTTAAGATTGTATCCGTTTATTATTTAAATAAAGATTTAAAAAATGTTTCCTTAAATAAAAAATAATAAATGGTTAAAAAATAAGAATAATAATAATCTATAAACTATTGAGTAATCGAATCTGGAATCTGGTTACCTAGCCATATAGGAATAATAGGAATAAAACAAGAGAGAACGCTATAGTCGGGTTGTTGTCCTGACTATCTAATACCCGTCACTCAGCTAAAGCGAACGCTGTGTCGGGTTGGTGTCCCGACTAATAATCGTAGCTCAGCTAAAGGGAGTGCGAGGGAGATAGATATATAATTTTTGATTGCGTATAACTTTTTAATGAATGATCCGATTTGAAAAATGTCTTCTACATTTCGATAGGTATAAATATACACAACAAAATTGCATTTATACTTCTCGGAAATCTTTAAAGATGTGGGCGCAGGACCCATTTTAAAATCGTTAGTGGGCGATTGTGGGCGTTAGAGGGGGCGTGGCGCTCGGCTAAAATAAACTTGCGCTGCGTAGGAAGCCAAAGAATATGTGTGGAAAATCTCAACCTTCTAGCTTTTGTAGTTTCTGAGATCTCAGCGTTCATACAGACGGACAGACGGACAGACAGACAGACAGACAGACAGACAGACAGACAGACAGACAGACGGACAGACGGACATGGCTAGATCGACTCGGCTAGTGACCCTGATCAAGAATATATATACTTTATGGGGTCGGAAACGCTTCCTTCTAGCTGTTACATACTTTTGCACGAATCTAGTATACCCTTTTACTCTACGAGTAACGGGTATAACTACCTTGAACCATTTCCATCTCAATGCCCTTTCCATTTAATTCAAAGCTTAGGAACCACAGCAAATCAGTTTGCAAAGTGCCTGCTCAGCCAAGTAAGTGACATTAAATAAACAAATTATTTTATTTGCAAAATTGCAAATGGCTATGGATAATCCTGAGTACTAATTTACAATTTAGTGAGGTCTCAGTCGAGAATGCGAGTGCCACGCAATCGCCAGCAGGCTCTTCTTTGGAGCCAACAAAAGCGATTGAAGCCGCAGAAGAAGAATTTCCACATATCGCTGGGCACTTGGCGGAGCATCTTGTCCAGAAATACGGATGAATTCTGTCGCAATACAACCATTCATGGATTGAAGTACATCAACAACAGCAAGTTGCGGAAAAGTGATAGGTGAAAAGAAAATTGATTAAAGAAATTGAAGTTCTAATAATATCTAAAAAAAAAGTTATGAAAAAAATAAAAGTTTTAATAGTTTTAATAATATTTAAAGGAAAATTATTAAAGTAATTGAAGTGTTAATAGTTTTAACAATATTTAAAGATAAATTATAAAGGAAAAAAAAGGCTTTAATTGCTTAAAAAATATTTTTAAGTGTTTAAGTTTTAAGTTTAAGTTTTAACTTTAAGTGTTAATACTTCCAATCAAATGTAAATATTATATAATATAAGTTAATATAACTTAATAGCCAAATGCACTATCGGTATTATTTATATTTTAGGTAATTTTAATAAACCTAAAAAACCTTAAGCTTCCTTGTGCTCTAAAATAAATTTTTGTGTAGGCATATATGTACATATGTACTTACCTTTTATTCTGGTTACAATTTTAAATTGATTTAATTTCCATTTAAAGGTTATTTTTCGGCATAGCCTTGCTGGCGGTGCTCTCCTTCGCCATTTATCTAATACAGGACGCCTTCGATAAATGGAACACCAATCCGGTTATAGTGGGCATCGATCCGGAGCTAACTTCCATTGCCAACGAGCCCTTTCCGGCGGTCACCATCTGCAATTTGAATCAGGCTCTGGCCGAAAGAGTTAAGAACTTGGCCAACGACTCCACGGAGTTTGCAATGCTGCAGTTGCTCTGCCGACGGAAGGTGGATGTCGAACTGGTCAAGGGGAATAATTCCAACTGGGAGGAGTTTATACTAAATGTAAGTAAGGTTATATTTTTGATTATTACATTTTCATTATGTAAATTTATAAGAAAATCATTAAAAACCTGTGATATCCCAACTTGGTAGTAAAAGTTTATCAAGCCTTTTAAATTCTTCTTTTATAATACGTATTCCTTTTTTTATAATATACAGATCTCGCAACCATGCAAATCAATGGTGATTAACTGCCGTTTTGGCGCCGATGATTTCGAATGTGCTCGTTTATTCCACCCCATTGTGACCGACGAAGGTCTGTGCTGCGTTTTCAATATGCTGCATCCCAGGTTTATGTACCGGAAAAGGTGGGAAACTCCATTTTCATTTGCTTAAAATGTTCTATTTCGGCCAAAACCATACGATTAAGCGTTCGGAAAAGCCTTCTTGCGAAGCACAGCTTTTGGTTTCAAATTGAACTAAAAGCATGAGAACTTTGAAGACCTGCTTTTAGCCAACGGGAAAACCTAAGCTATGTCTTTGATTTTAGTCTAAGAACAATAGTTCAAAATGAAAAGCTAATAGAAGGAATAATATAAAACAAGAAAGTAAGGGGACTTCGGTCAGCCTTCCTATTAAATTAAAAATGAATTTTAGATGTTTTACAAAAAAGGTATAATATATATAACGTACGTATATTATAATATTTAGTATAATATAGTAGACCGATTTATGTTAAATATTATATTAAAAAAAAGAGTATAGAGAGTATAGGGAAATTCCATAAAAATCAACGAAGCAATAATTTGATTCCAATTATTATACCCGTTACTCGTAGAGTAAAAGGGTATACTAGATTCGTGCAAAAGTATGTAACAGCTAGAAGGAAGCGTTTCCGACCCCATAAAGTATATATATTCTTGATCAGGGTCACTAGCCGAGTCGATCTAGCCATGTCCGTCTGTCCGTCTGTCTGTCTGTCTGTCTGTCTGTCTGTCTGTCTGTCTGTCTGTCCGTCTGTCCGTCTGTATGAACGCTGAGATCTCAGAAACTACAAAAGCTAGAAGGTTGAGATTTTCCACACATATTCTTTGGCTTCCTACGCAGCGCAAGTTTATTTTAGCCGAGCGCCACGCCCCCTCTAACGCCCACAATCGCCCACTAACGATTTTAAAATGGGTCCTGCGCCCACATCTTTAAAGATTTCCGAGAAGTATAAATGCAATTTTGTTGTGTATATTTATACCTATCGAAATGTAGAAGACATTTTTCAAATCGGATCATTCATTAAAAAGTTATACGCAATCAAAAATTATATATCTATCTCCCTCGCACTCCCTTTAGCTGAGCTACGATTATTAGTCGGGACACCAACCCGACACAGCGTTCGCTTTAGCTGAGTGACGGGTATTAGATAGTCAGGACAACAACCCGACTATAGCGTTCTCTCTTGTTTTTCACTAATTTTTCCGACCCATTTCTTTCAAAGTAAAATTTGAAATATTTAAAAAATTATATTCCCAAGAGGAGAATTAAAAAACACGGAAGCTATTCTATTTTTTAGATTATTCTTCCGATTATTCCTAAGGGGGCTATACTATATACATATACCACCATTTACCTCGCAGCGTTCCCTTCTCGCACCGCAACATCACCCTTCCCGCGGGTTTCCATGCGGTCAACTGGCACGCGGAGTTGGGCTACCGCAAGCGGGGCTCCCAGGTGGACGGGGACAATCCGCTGTACCCGCGGCGAGCCCAGGGAACTGGTGAGTCGCTGGGCCTGTCGCTGACCCTGGACGTCCAGGCGGACGCCTACTACTGCTCCTCGTCCAGCAGCGTTGGCTTCAAGATCGCCCTGCACAGTCCGAACGAATCGCCGAATGTGCGGGAGACCGGAGTTCTGTTGGCACCCGGAATGGAGACCAAGCTGCGCATTGATCCGGCCAAAATCCTGACCGAGAAGCACCTGCGCAACGTGGACCGCCTGAGCAGGCGGTGTTTGTTCCGCAACGAGCTGAAGCTCCGCTGGTTCGCCCACTACACGCAGAGGAACTGCGTGGCCGAGTGCCTCTCCGGCTGGCTGCTGCGCCACTGCGGCTGCGTGACCTTCTATATGCCCCGCCTGAACTGGAACGACACCATCTGTCCGCTGCGCCAGCGGGAGTGCGTGGAGCTGATCCGATTCCGGACCATTGTGGCGATGGAGTCCTGCCTGGAGGAGTGCCTGCCCTCGTGCTTCGACCTCACCTTCAGTGCGATCGCCTACTCCACGCGCATCTCGCACGACGGCTTCCGGGAGACGCCCGCGAACGGCGGCTGGAACTTCTCCGATTCGTATGTGGAGCGCAGCGTGGCGGTGGTGAATATGTACTTCAAGGATCCCACATTCAGGGCCAGCAAGCAGACCGAGTTCATTGGCTTCTCCGATTTTCTGTGTAAGTTCGGGCTCGAATCGAATGCTTTTGAAAGGAAATAACATATTTTTACAGCTTGCGTGGGCGGCCTAATGGGTTTGTTCCTGGGCTTCAGCTTTCTCTCCATCGCCGAGTGCGTGTACTTTGCCCTCATACGTCCCTGCCGCACTTGCTCGGAGATCCGACAACTTAACCAGCCGCGGGAGCAGCCTAAGAAGCCGCCTGCCCCAGCCAATATCAGATACATTTCACCGGCCAATTGGTTTCAGGCCGAACTGGCCCGTCAGCACTTTAATCCTGCTTAAACTTAGCACAATAGCACACACACTAATCTAGATGAGTTCCCAGTACTTGGTCACGAACTCGTTTTTGGGCAGAGCCAAAGTGGAGGGCCGCTCGTAGTTCAGGGCAAACTGCTTGGCCTTCGACTGCAGTTCGTCGTCGAAGATCTGCAAGGGGAAAATCAGTTATAAAGATGAAATAAAAGGATATATTAAGGATAATACATTGCACTCCTTTCTGTCCAAGAGCGGCGCCAAATCGAATTCCATGATGGGCAGCGAGGTGTTGATGAACCTGGCCGCATTGGCCACCTCCGGAACAACGTGCTTCTGCAGCAGCGCAATCTCCCACAGCGAACTATTGATCGCATCCGATTTGACGGGATCCGTTTCCGTTTCGTTGTACGGATCGCTCACTTCCTCGGCCGCATGACTGCCGCGAATCAATTTCTGCAGGCCCGTGTGCCGCAGCAGCAGGTTGCAGACGAACCGGATCATGATCACGGCATCTTCGGTGGGCGATTGGAGGGCCAGGCGGGCGAGACGCTTCACAAAGGCCGCCACCAGGTTCTCCGGCAGATGGGTGGAGGTGAGGAAGATGTCGGCCAGGTAGAACAGGCGCGCCTTGTACTTGTTGTAGAACATCCGGGGGTAGAACATGTTGTACAGCTTCTCGTACACATCGGGATAGGTGATGTTCTGCTTCTGCATCAGCGTGAAGATGCCCTGGAGGGCCAGCAAGGCGATGGGTCCATCTGGGGAATGGCAAAATGAGTATTCAGGAGATCTCTAGAGCTTTCTATACCCACCGAACTGATGCAGCGAGTCCATGAGGAAGTCGGTCAGCTGGATGGGGTCGTCCAAATGGTTGATTACGCGCTCCAGCAGGACCACCAGTATCTGCCGGTGCAGCCTCTCGTCCACTTCGCTGCCCTTGGTCATTATAACCAGCCAGAGGTCGTTCAATCTCTTGCGATTGGCCTCCAAGCTGAATTTGTGACTCTTCGCACTTTCCACGTGGTAATCGGCAGTGTTGAGAACGGTTTTACCAAAGTCCAGGAGGTTCGCAATGGCCAGGAAGTTCATGGCCTTGATGGGGATGCTCTTGAAGTCCTCCTGGGGCACTAGAGCTATTAACTGCTTGAGGGTAATCTCCAAAACGTCGAGATTCTTGCAGTATTTCCCATAGTTGCTCAACGCATTCGTCGGTGTTTCCTCGGCGTTTAGGAGAGTGCTCAGGATATCCCGGATCCTGTGGGTGGGCCAGCCCTTATTGGTGGCTACGGGATGCTTGGCCTCCACTTTGATCAGCTGCATGCACACCTTTAGGGCCGCGGAACTCTCGGAATCCACGAGAAGGTTCTCCAGTAGCAGCAACCAGGTTTCCTCGTACAATTCCCGGATTTTCAGGGTCTGTTTGTCGGCGCCCTCGGCGGATTTTCTTTTTAACAGGTTCTTGAATATCACCTCGAGGGTGTTCATCACCTCCCCAGCCGGCACATTATCGGGGGTGTCCTTCTGTGGGATTTTAAATAGTTAACTCATTTTACTTAACAATTTCATTGGTTTTTACCAGCAGTTGAACGAATCCCTTGAGCGTTTTGATGTCCACATTCTTGGCATTCAGCAGGGAATTGGCCTTAGACTGCAGCTGCTTCTTGGCCAACGGCTCCGCTACGACCTCGTCCTTCTTTCCAGCCAATCGTTTCATTGTCAATCTGCTAAATGTGGTTTGGGTTTTCCTAAGCAACAATTTAAATCCAAAGCAAAACAAAACACGAAAACATGCGGCGTGCTCTCGGGGAGTTGCCAGATCGATGGGAAGAGGTCAGTCACGAGCTGCCACCTTGGCCGTGGCAGAAACTATCGATTGTAGAATAACTATTGTTTGGTATTTTAATTTAAATAGTATTTTCAAAATACTCAGAAATATAAAATAATAATAAAATTAGGAGTAAATTTATTTTGTTTTATTAATTTAAATTATATTATTATTAAAATTATTTCCCTCTTTTTTGTGATTAACCCTTAAAAATCATTTGTAAAATATTTTAAAAATCATAAAATTGATAAGTTTTGATAAAGGAAGAGGCAAAAAATAAAAATATTCAGGTTATAATGCCAATCGACATGGAATTTAATAACGAGTTCAACAAGGTAGGACACACCACATTTGGAACATTATTTCCATTTCTTTTTTCTACTTTTATGACCAAAATACTAATAGTAAATACTACTTGGGTTAAAAATCAAAATCTTGATTATTGGTAAAAATTTAATTTATAGACCTTTTGCATTAACTTGGACAAAAATTTTCACAAATCAAAAAGGCGCTTTTCGCTTTTTTTATAAGGGGTTATCATAATTTTCTGCGAAAAATGGTTGAAATGTTAACAGATTGGTTGTGTTATTACGACCTCAACAGATTATGACATTCCATATTTGAACCAGTATTTCAATTGTTCTGGCCAAAAATACGTTTTTTTTGGGTTGAAAATCAGAATCTGGCTTTTTGGAAAAAATTGGATTTTTTTAATGAATTTTTTGCTGTAATTTGGACAAAAATGGTCCCAAATCAAAAAGGCGCACTTTTTTGAGCAGCTAACAACCTGCTTTGAGAAAATTAATTTTTTCACAATTTTCGCATTTTTGACAAGGTACCATCATGTTTCTTGTAAGAAATGACAAAATTAAAAATGTTCACATTCAAAATGCCAATTATAATCTGATATTTGTAACGCTATTATAGGCTCGTACTGAACCCTCGGATATATCGATATTATGGATGGATCTACTAATTCCAAAAGTGTAATCTCTAGCGCGGCAGAATTTAAACTATTTTAAAAATATATATATATATATATTTAAAAATATATAAACTAGTTTTATTTTCCTAAATTTCTTATAATTAATATTTTTCTAAAGAGAAAAATAAATTTAGCCGAAGGTGTGGGTTTAGGACATTAATTTACCACATTCGTTTTCATTCATAAAGAAAAGTCACTCAAATTGAGTTTTCACTTAAACTCGCGGCTTATTCTGAGTTCGGGCTTTTTGCTTTTGCGCTCAATTTCGCTTTCGGCTAGCGAACGAAGCCGCTTTGTTTACAAATATTTTTTGTTCCTTTGGGAATTTGCATGCGCGCCTGTTGCGTTCTTTTCTCTATCGATTAAAAAATGTTTGAGGGAGAGTGTTTTTTATAAAGCACATACAAATAAAATATAAGATTGATATTTTTATTAAAAGTTGTATTTCTTGTTATTTTAATTTGTTAAAAAGAATATTAATTTATATCATTATATTTATTTTTTTTTTTTTAAATGTATTTCTAAAATAAAAAATAATTTTTTAGTTTTATGGGTTTAATTTATTTTTTAAATCCAAAATATAAAATGTATGAAAGAAATTGATGTAATACAATTATTTGGAAATACTTGTTATAGAATTTAATAAAATATTCATTTACAAATTAAAACAATTTTAAGTACTGTGTAACAAACATATTTTGAGTAATGACAACAAATTTTTTAAATGTATTCCGTATAACAAAACTATACATCAAAACCCTCAAATGTATTTGTTATTTTTAAAAAATGTATTATATTTTCGATTCAATCACAGATTTAATAAATATACAATCTTTAAAACTTTTTAATTTTTTATTATTTTTAGTTATTTAAGTTTTACGAATAGACTAAATAATAAGTAAGAGAAAATTGTACAAAATAAATGTCGAATATTTCAATAATATTTTGAGTACTTTTCGCAGGCGGCAACGCGCTCGAATCGTTCAACTCGACTCGCATCCTTCGGATCTTCGGCTCGTCCTTCGTCCTGTGTTTTGGTTTTGCGCCCACTTGCGACTGTTTCGCTTTGGATGGCGCGTAGTTCGCTGGCGAATGTCCTGACCGACGGTTGTGCGGCGGACTAAAAAGGACCAAAAGGACCCTCGGCCTGAAGAAACCATTTCAATCCGCAAAAATCTCAGTTCGAAACTGGATTTTTTTTTTTAAATATCTCGCGAATTAACAATTTTTTCTTTATTTTTTAATGTGTCATATGAAATGAACAACAAATTATCCGTACAATAAAAACCAATTAAAGAGAATAAACTCAGAATTCAAACAGATATAAAGTGGAAGTGAAATCGGGTTTAGAAGTTTTTTGGTGATAAAGTTTTCCCAAGTGTTTTCCGGGCTTTCCTTCGTTTATTTATTTTTTTTAATTTCCCACTGTCCAGCGGCCTTAGGAAATCAAATCAGGTGAGTGGCAACTTCTGGTGGCGGAAATTGAGTCAAGAAGCCGGTAATTGAATTAAAGCCAGATTTGAGATTTTTGCTTTACAAGAACCGTTTAATTGGGCTTGGATTCTCGCACTTTTCCCGCCTTTCCTTCTAATGAACTCCCACATCCGGATTGGGTTTAAACTCTCTGGCCAAGCGGCTTTTGTTCGCCATTTGATTGATGAGAGATTTGAGGGATATAGAAAATAGAAGTGAAACTGAGAATCATACGAGGACAGGTGGGAATGACACGTGTGATTCGCGGGAAGGAAGAATCCTTTAAGTTGCTGCTGACAAGGGAAATTAAAAAAAAAAAATGTAAATTTTCGACAGTGCTGTTTTAAAAAATTTGTTCAGTGCAAAAATAGATTTTTTATATGTAAGAAACTAAAAAGTTCCCGAGATTGCTTAAATTATTTTTCAATATTCTTAAAGAAAAATATTTCTTATTAAAACTTTTTTTTTTTGTTATTTCTTAAAATAAATTTAATTTTCTTGTTTTAAAAAATTAAACAGTGAACTAAAAAATATTAAAATGATTCCTTAAAAATTGTCTTTAAAACTGGGATTTAAATAATGTAATGAATTTTTAAATTATTTTTCAAAATTTATTAAAATTATAATTAAAAGAAGTAAAGAAATTTAAGCAATAAAGACTTTGAAATTTTAAAAATATTAACTTATTTGCTAAACTGTCTTTAGAGTGTTTTAAATAGTCATAATAAAATAACAACAAAGAAGTAAACCAGAAAATCCATTTTAAAATGTAATTACAATTACATCAAAGGTAATTAAAAGAGTGTTTTAATTGTAAATTCATATGTAAATTCCTCTTTATTAGCTGGACACTAGAAAATGCACTTTAATGACTTTCCCGCCGGGGTTAATCCAATTGCTTTCGTGACAATATAGCACTTGCCACTTAACCCGCGAATTAAATATCCCTTTGTCGGGGGTGCGGTTAGTGCATCCGCTTAATACGAATCCGAATCAGAATCCGAAACCAAATCCAAATCAAAGTCCAGGTGCTCAGATAGCTGGCTTCAAGCACGCGATGCGCAACATGCGACATGCATTTAAATTCAATTTCAGCTGGCCACCCAATTTACACATTTAACGTGTGTAATTTGCAGCTAAATTTAATTGGCCTAATTAGGTGCGACATGGCCGTGGATCGCGGGTGGAGGGGTGGTTTCCGGTTCTGTGGGGTATGAAATGCATGTGGGCGGTGTGAGTTGCCATTAAGTGTTTGGCTAAGGACCCAACTCAAAGCAAACGGCAGTCGCGTCAATTCAGGCGAAATCAACTGAAATAATTGCGCCCTTCAATTGTCAAATTGCGTTGGTTTTGACCTTAAGCATTCGCCTTAATTGCAAACATTTGAGGAGCAGGTAAAATGCTGGAAAATTCTACGAACTAGTGGACATGTCAGAGTGGGTATTACAATCTAAAAATCATCATACAATTTACTAAGCGATCCTAAAAAATATCTATAGTTTCTTTTTCAATTAAAAAATAGGTTTTATTAAATTAATATATTTTAAAAGTGGCTTCCTAAAAAACTTTTTTAAAAGTATTAAATGATATTGATAAGGTCTCGTTTAAAGGCATTTTCTGCCACTTGCACAACCTTGGCAACCCTGGAAAAAAATCCAGGAAAAATCCAAGAGGCCTAGAGGGAGAGATTTCTCTGGTTGGATTCCTTTTAAAGCGCAAAAAAATGGTGCAAAAAAGTTTTCCATAATATTTTAACAAGAATTTAACGCTGCAGGCGAGGACAAGGCACACAAGTCCTGAAGTCCTGCAGAACCGCCCCCTTAGCCCCCTCAGCAGCCGGCAAACATTGTCCAAGAGACCAAGATGTGGCATTAAAAATGAAAAAGCAACTCAAAATTCTCTGTCTCGCAAATGGGAACGCAGCAGTAAAAATACCAAAACGCATAGTCACAGGGGGTGGAGGTGGGTGGTGAAGCTAGGATAGAACGGGTGGGAAAAACCGGGGGAAATGCTGGGTTATATGTAACTGAAACCTTTGGATATTCTCCCATTTTTTTCCTGGCGACTGGGGTCCAGGCCTCGGCTCATCTGAGGCATGCAAAATGAACCATAAAGTGCAGTCAGTCAAGTTGTTTTGAAGCCCTTTCCCCCGTTACGCCCCCCATCCCGCCCCACTTTTCTGCACCGCCCCCGTACTGATAAGCACTTGACTCGAAGGCTTTGACCACATTTTTGCCCCTTTTTCCAGGACACCCCAAACCCCCAAACTCCGACCCTCCCACCCTCCTCTGGCGAAAATAAAGCCGAAGAGCCCGGCGCCGGGTTCATAAAGTCGGACTCATATCTATATCTCCCCTTTCAGAAAGGGACTCGTAAATGGTCCCTCTCTGCGGGAAAATATTTCGAAATTATGTTTCGTTTGAGGTGCAATTTGCCAAGATAGAAGGACTCGCATTTTCCGTCTCTGCCGAGGACATTTGGAACGGCCAATTGGAACGCTGAAAGGCTGAATGCAGACCGGCACT